TTCTCGATCTTGACTACTGCAGACATATTTTGGGATTACGAAATCTAATTTCCTATTAACTATGTTTCTTTTATGCAGATGATATTGGGGTTAGTAGCTGTGGTCAGAAGTCACTGGTGTGGTGTCCTGACAGGTGCCTTGCTCTGTCAATGATAGGTGTTCAGCTGCATGCCCATATTTCCCCCTGTATGCTGGGCAGGCTCTGAGCAGAGAGCCAGCACAACACAGCACAGCAGATACTAAGGCAGCCCCAAAGACCACAGAATCAGATAAGGCTAGAATGCACTAGGAATGTCATTGTAAACAAAACACAGTAATTTCTCATGGTATCAGATGTCTACAGTTAAGCTAAGAATGTGTGCCCATGACAATGGATTCAGCTCAGTCAACTGGCAGATTGTCTAGCCTAGGGAGTAATGGAGAATGACAGCCCCTGTAAGATGCAAAGAAGTTACACTTTTGGGCTGTGTCTACACTGGCATGAATTTCTGGAACTGCTTAAAACGGAATACTATTGGCAGGCTGCTTTCCCGGAAAAGCCCTTTTTCCGGAAAAGCGTCTGTGGCCAATGTAGACGCGCTTTTCCGGAAAAGAGCCCCGATCGCCATTTTCGCGATCGGGGCTTTTTTCCGGAAAAGACTACTGGGCTGTCTACACTGGCCCTTTTCCGGAACAGTGTTCCGGAATAAGGACTTATGCCTGAGCGGGAGCAGAATAGTTTTTCCGGAATAGCGGCTGATTTTGTACAGTAGAGCATCGTTGCTTTTCTGGAAATTCAAGGGCCAGTGTAGACCGCTCGCAGCGTATTCCGGAAAAGCGGCTGATTTTCCAGAATAAGTGGCCCAGTGTAGACACAGCCCGGATGTATGAGGAGAACACATTCTGATGTCCTAGCTTAGGGTGCCACCCATTACTTTATACGTGGTGGCTCAATCAAAACATTGCTATTCATCATGCTGTCATGTTGGATGCTATCCTGAATCTGGGTCAATATGTTCCTGTTATCTGTAGGGAGTGTTTGGAACCAAGATATCTCCTAATTAGATGTTCTGTCACCATCTCTCTGAAATGGGCTTACAGCCTGTGCCTAGTACCAATTAGTGTTTCTGCACTATCAGCCCTGTTTGTGCCAAGTTCTGTGAGCAGGGCCTGCCTCTTGCTCACAGCTTCACTTTGCTTTATATTAGCAGTCTTGCTGTTGTTGCCTAGGCCTCAGGTCTTAAACCAGGCCTATGATACATGGGGTTAAATTTTAGGCCCTCCTATTACTACAGGGCTGTGTCTACACTGGGCCACTTATTCTGGAAAATCAGCCGCTTTTCCGGAATAAGCTGCGAGCTGTCTACACTGGCCATTGAATTTCCGGAAAAGCAACGATGTTCTACTGTACAAAATCAGCCGCTATTCCGGAAAAACTATTCTGCTCCCGCTCAGGCATAAGTCCTTATTCCGGAACACTGTTCCGGAAAAGGGCCAGTGTAGACAGCCCAGTAGTCTTTTCCGGAAAAAAGCCCCGATCGCGAAAATGGCGATCGGGGCTCTTTTCTGGAAAAGCACGTCTACATTGGCCATGGACGCTTTTCCAGAAAAAGGGCTTTTCCGGAAAAGCAGCCTGCCAACGTAGACGCTCCTTTTCTGGAAAAACTGAAAACGGAATAGTATTCCATTTTAAGCATTTCCGGAAATTCATGCCAGTGTAGACACAGCCCAGTTGTCTTATCAAGAACAGCTGGATACTATAGGAACTAAACAAGAATATGTGCATTACCACAGTAAATAGCAGTATTCTATCTCTCCTCAATATTTTTTTTCACTGTAAATGCATGGAACTGTGTTAGCAGCTTTGCAAAAGAAACAAGTACTGTTCTGTTGCTTTAACTATAATTTTCCTTTTCTGTTTTTCCTGTCAGCAGTATGCAGTTTATTATTTCAGTCATAAAAGGTACATACCTATTTTTCTATACATAATGTGGTCTTTTCCTGAATCACTCATATCTTTTGATTTATTCCGTGTTTTTTCTCCTTATTGTGTGTTTCTTTCCTCTTCTCCTTTTTTGGGCTTGGATGGCTTTCAATAGCTCCTAATTATGACATGCTGACTTGCAAGCAAGATACAAAAGAATTACTTGTTTTGCTGCTATACAGTCTCTGTGCTGCACAATGTTTTCCTCTGTGGTTGCTATACTTTATTTCTGTTCCTTCTACAATTGTCATAGAATTGCTTCCCTGCACATGTACTGAATCTCGTTTTCTCTTTCCACTATGTGACCTGTTCCAACCTTTGGTTTCTGTAGCAGCTCACTGAGGATGGAATGTATGGTTTTGTCCAAAAAAATCTGATGACCTATTACCCTATTTGGAAGTGTTTCTCCTTTAAATTCAACACACATAACCTAGCTTTCTTTTCTTGCTTCTTGCTAATTAGCTGCTTAGCATATAGTATTTATCCCCTTATTCTTTGCTTTACATCATCATCATCATCATCATCATCAAGGGTGTTACAAGGAGGAGGGAGGGGAAAAATTGTTGTCCTTGGCCTCTGATGATAGGACAAGGGCTTAAATTGCAGTGAGAGAGGTTTAGATTGGACATTAGGAAAAACTTCCTAACTGTCAGGGTGGTTAAACACTGGAATAAATTGTGTAGGGAGTTTCTAGAATCTCCACTGGAGATATTTAAGAGGAGGCTGGATAGACAGCTATCAGGGATGATCTAGATGGTGTTTGGCCCTGCTGTGTGGGTAGGGGACTGGACTTGATCTCTAGAGGTCCCTTCCAATTCTAGTGTTCTGTGATTCTATCAGTCATTTCATCTGGCATCCCATACACAACTCTTCTTGACTCTGATATTTAGGCAGTTGGCATCTCACCTCAGTTTTCCTAGCATTGTAATCTTTATTGGTTTTCCCACTTATTCCTTGCTCTTACAGTCAATTAATAGATCTTTTCATTGTAGCTTTGCAGCTCTTTCAACGTCTCCAGAACTTTTAAAATCCACTCACTTTCAGAGAGTTTACATCCCCTATCTTTACATTCTTGAGTAGTGATTTCATTATCATTCATGTCTTTTTGTTGTTGCTGCTGCTTCTTCTGGTATAGTCACCATTTTCTTTTTCCTTCCCTGTGATTATTCTTCCCCCTCTTCTTTATCCATCATTTTCTAGACTGGTTTTAGTATTCAGCATTATACCTTCCCCAAAGTATAGGTCCGCTAGCTGAAAGCAGCCTTAGGTGGCGTCCCTTCCAAATAGACAGAGTCCAGCCCTACCAAACTGCTATTGCTGTTGGACTTAAGAGCTGGCCTAATAACCCTTCTCACTAATTATGTGCTGTAGACAATCTAGCAGCCACTATAGGACAGCTGCACTCATCATGTTGCCCAAAGTCAGTTCCTGCTGCAGAATGTGGTCTCTGACAATACAACCACAACTCCATGAAGGTGCCTCATTAGGGACAGTTTTCTCTGGCTACTTCCAAAGGAACTCTCAATAGATCTAGGGTGTAGGTATTCTCTACTGGTTCCAAATCTGCCTGTCCAGCCTAGATAGCTGTTTTAGATCACAAGATAATGGAGCCCTCCACTAACTCACTGGGAGTTGAGGATTTGGTGGACCAAGTACTTCTGTCTGTGCATTGTTATGGGTAGTAGTGGTGGGTTGGAGTGATTTAGATATGGCTTTTTCATGTAGGCTTTTAAAGATGGGATGAATCTTCAAGTAGTTGGGCAACTGTAACCTTCAAGACACTAGGTTTACCCATTCTATATACCCAAGTGTTGGTAGTCTAGTTTTGTGGATAGGTTCCTTGATTTAAAGTTCTAAGCATAGTCAAACCTTTTCTCCTATGGCCTAGCACCAGATTTTGCTTTCATTTTCCTCATTAGTGCTAGATTTTGCTTTCACTTTCTTCAGTTAGAAATACATGCAGCCACTTGAGAGAAGCACTGCATTTATCTTCCTAACACACATGTGGTAGGTCAACCTCTACTATTTGATCTCATTGTACGTCTTTGCGATTTGTCTGTTTCTAGAAACTTACTTGGTAGCACTTCTATATGCAAGAAGGGAAGGACTACGTCTGTTAACAGAAAAGATAAATGTGTGAAATTTGTATGAAAATGTGTTCACTCTCACCAAGATTACATAGGATGTTTAATTCATCAATCCCAGAGCTGTTCACATTTTTAATCTGATAGATTGACACTTGCAATATAACAAAAGAAATACTATTGCATAAATGATAGATTTCATGTTGTTCATTCATCTGACTTAACTCTTGGTTTCTAGGAATATCACATCAGCATTATTATTCTAAGACTGACGTGCAAGTATGTAATAAAAAATAAATATTATCTTCAGTGAACCTTTGTAAAGAATGGATCAAAATCCTCTTACTACAAGAATAAAATGGATTTTTATCTGAAGGATATATATTTCACTCAAGAAAAATGACCAGAAAAAGTTCACTTCTCTTAGCCTTTAAGCTTCAATAATAACTACAGTCAATCTTTTAATAATAGTATATACTTGAATGTATTTGTATCTTTTCTAAACATTTTTACTTAATGCCTTCTATACAGGGCACCAAACTCTCTCAGAACTTGATTTGAATCTCAACTATCCAAAAATGTGGGTGTGTTCACATTAAGGTTCTTGTTTCCCACAAAGTGAGACAGGGCTGCATCACACATTTTTAGTTCTGCATTCAGTTGGACACAGATTCAGAACCTATGTACAACAGAGATTAAAAATAGAATAAAAGACCCTTGCTTTGGCATTTTCCCTTGCAACTGCACTTTCTTACAGTGGGAAGGCTTGTGTGCTCTAATCACTTTAAGAGCTTATGTTGGTGCACTTTTAATTCCTGACAGGGTCCCACACACCTTACAGATCACAAATTAGGGAGCTGATGAAGAGCAATCCACTGGACCTCCTTGTAAAAGGGCTTCCTTTCATTCACAGTGTTCCAGACGACAACTGTAGGAGATGAAACTCTGTTGACCTGACCCCAGATGAGTTCATTTCACATCCGTGTCTTATTCTGTTGAATATGCTCACTGCATGAGGTAGGCGTCCTATAGACAAAATGGTAGGTGATAATCTAATTAAAATCTGCATGGTAAAAAATATTAACAGCAAGGAGAACAAAGGTTGTGCAATCATGAAAAATGTAACAAGACAGAACACCCTTACTCCCAAAACAACTTAATTAAAATAGTTCAGGTTGCCAACTGATATTGGCATGTGTTTCAATCTAGAATAAACTGTTTTAATCAGTAATCAATATTTCCCATTTAATAGATTTTTTTTAATTCAGATCTCAAAACCAAGAGGTGTGTGTGTGTGTGTGTGTGTGTGTGTGTGTGTGTGGTTTTTTTTTAATATGTATAATTCATCGAGTCAGGATGTGGCTGTGTTAAGAAAGTATCTATTTATTTACCTTTTAAGAAATGTTATATACTATTCATTACTTTGTTTTTAAGTGCTTGAGGTTTTTATAAATATTGTAGTAGGTAAGTACCATGTAACTTAAACCTTTAATTTTGTTTTTAAGCAACTTTTTTCTTTTTGGGGTGGGGGGAGAGGTGGGTGGTGTTTGAAATAAGATACCATCTGGATTTTTTTTAATACAAATTTACAAAAAGCAAGTAAAAGTATAGTCCAAAATTCTTCAGACTTGGCTGGATTTTTAAGTCTCAGTGAAATCCAAAGTATGAGAGAAATCTGAAGGAAAATTTGTTCATTGGCTTTGAAACCCACATGGTACAAATGATAATATAACAGCTTTCATGGATTTTTATGGCCAGGAAAGACAGTGATGTAAGCCAGCTTGATCGCCTTCATAATTTGGGACATGGCTTTCACTCAGTGGCCCTTGAATCTAGCCCACCAACTAATGTTTGCAAGAAACACTGAATTAAATATGACATTGCTTTTGATAAAGTCACACACATTTTTTAAATCTTCTCATAAAACGTGTTTTACAGGCTGACCAGTTAAGGGTAAACTGCCAGATTTGCATTCTTGATACTTTATTTAAATTGCAGTGCATGGCTACCTGGATAATGAGCACTCAGAAGCTTGTCACCATTGCCTGTATCCATCCCACAGCTGCACCATTTAGAGAACTGGATCAGCTCCCCTTTAACTGTGTAATAGAGTATGGATTGTGACTCTGCTAAAATGTCTGTCTGAGAACGTGGTATGCTCAGTGCCAATGAAATTACTTGTCACATAGTTGATCTCTTAAAGTAGGGGATTGCTAACAATGGCATTCGTTTACCAGCGAGAGTATGTATTTCGCATATGCCTAAGAGCAGATGACTAAGCTCTGTTTCTCATGATTTCCGCTGCAATAAACTGGAACAAAGTTATTTAGTCATTGGTGCATCAGATTCGCCCTTGAGATTGTCACTTGGAGATCAGCCTTTGTGAAGCTCAAAAGTGGCGAGGAGTCCTGTGGCATCTTATAGACTAACTGAAGTGTTGGAGCATAAGCTTTCGTGGGCAAAGACCCACTTCGTCAGATGCAAGTAGTGGAAATTTCCAGAGACTGTACTGGAGGCCGTACACCAGTTCCAACTGGTGGGTCATGGAGCAGTGGGATGACTAGCACTGGCTTCAAAACTTCCCTGGCTGAGCTCCTGGGGTGGCTTGTGGCTGGACCATCTATTGTAAGGCTTATGGCAGTCAGAGCTGCGCGGTCAGGTGCTGTTCTCTGGGCTGGCTTCCTGCCACAAGGCTTGTCCTGGGTGCCTGCAGCTTTAAGAGCTGGCAGGCGACAGGAATTATAGAGTTCTGATTAGTTTGGACGGCGTGGTCTCCAGGTCACCTGTGTTCTTTCCTGGGCCACCAGGGCACCTGTGTTATTTCCTGAAGGCCTCTTTTTTTGAAAGAACTCCCTCTTCTGCATCCACATATGCCTCTTTCTATGAGGCTTATCGCCATTGGACAAACCCCTCCATTATTTCACATTTTTGTCAAAAGACTGCCATAGCAGTGTGGACGCAAGTATTGTTTTTCCAGAAAAACTAATGTTTTTCAGGAAAAACACTGCAGTTTAGATACACCCTTACATGCAGTGGAACCTCAGTTATAAATTGACCAATCAACCACATACCTTATTTGGAACTGGAAGTACATAATCAGGCAGCAGCACATAGAAATACGGTATATAATGTTAAACATACCCCACTAAAATTTTATTTTTTAAAGTTTGACAAGGACATTGTTTCATTCAAATTAAAAAGGCTAAAAGCAGCATTTTTTTTTCCTGCATGGTAAAGTTTCAAAGCTCTAAGTCTATGGTTCTTTTAAAAGTCTATAGATGAACATTAAGTTTTGTTTAGAGTTACAAACAACTTCCCTTCTCGAGGTATTTGTAAGTTCTACTGTAAAACCCTTCAACTCACAGTGTTCTATGCTATTTTACTCTTAATGTGGACAAGGACAAAAACGCTTTAGTTCGTCATGCTCAACTCTCTAGTTTGGGGAAAATGCAACATTCTGAGGAACTTTAAGGACTCTCACCTCGGCCTACACTAGGGGATAAGTTTGAATTAAGATACGCTAATTGTGTAGCTTAAGTTGCATAAGTGATGTCAAAGTATCTTAACTCAAATTTTGGTGCTGTCTGCACTGCAGGAAGTTGAAGAAAGCATACTCTCTCCCTTCAACTTTCCTTACTCCTCATAAAAGCAAAACTACTGGCATTAATGGGTGCGCCCTCTTCACTATACCTGCTAACTTGAATCCTGGGAAGATCAACCGTGTCAGCTTTACTCTTGGACCATGTCTATACTACAGATAAGACTGAACAACAGTTAGATGAATAGTTTCCAAAGCCAGGAGTTCCAATCATTAATTATTCTCACTGTTAAAAAGGCATGCCTTGTATCTAGTCTGAAAGTGTAACTAGCTTCAACTTCCTAACAGTGGATCATGTTATACCTCTTTCGCTGTATCATTGTCCACACAATGTAACATCACATGAGAGCATGTATTGACTAACATGATACATGCCCTATTGGGCTGGTGAATCTCAGTGCCAAATTGCTAAGAGGCTTTATAGGTAGCCTTTTACAGTATGCTTTCAGAGATAAGGGGGTTGCACTGGTATAATGGAGAGTAGAATTTAACTTGCAGAATATGTGGTGTTGGTAATCAGTGAGCAAAACACTCAGCCTGGCTGCTAGATCAGGCTGAGTTTGCAAGGCTAGTGGATAGAAAAATATATTTTTAAAATTGAATTTGGATGTAGAAATCCAGTGAGACATGAAATCACATAATGCCATTTTTACAATCACTTTTCAGAGGAGAAATACACTTAAATTACAACCAAGGATGTGACTGGGGAAATATTTCATATTTATTATTTCCTCAGAACACAACCATGATTTAAAACTGCGTTTTTTTGTATATTCAAGCATGGATATAAACTTTCATGCTAGAGTGATACAACATCATAGTAATTTCAGAGTCAATACTACTTAATAAAGGGCCAGTTTTCAGACAGAATAATGTGCAACAGAACTGAGAAAATGAAAAGATCCCATGGAGCCAAGAAACACAAACTTTCAGTTTACCATTATAAAAATGAACAGTGTGTACAGACAGCTCTTTCTCTATCTCCTCTCCCAAGACAAAATATAGTACAATACAACTGGATGAGCAAAAATCACATAGGTAACTATTAGGAAACTCTAGTATCATGCCTTATCCTTCCCTATAGGATCATGTAATCTCTTCAAAGGAGGAATGGGCTCTGAACTTTCTCATTTATAACACCAAAGTTTCACAAGTGTATTAATCATTCTTCCCTTTAAAATATGTATTTTCACTTTCTAGCATTTCTCTCCCCTTCCTATCCATAAAAGAGAATTCTGTGCCTCAATCAGGGTTACAACTCAGAATTTGTAGAGTGATGAAAATACTCCTATCATAGGGTATGTCTACACTACCCCGCTAGTTCGAACTAGCGGGGTAGTGTAGACATACCCTCAGTATTAATCATTCTTCCCTTTAAAATATGTATTTTCACTTTCTAGCATTTCTCTCCCCTTCCTATCCATAAAAGAGAATTCTGTGCCTCAATCAGGGTTACAACTCAGAATTTGTAGAGTGATGAAAATACTCCTATCATAGGGTATGTCTACACTACCCCGCTAGTTCGAACTAGCGGGGTAGTGTAGACATACCCTCAGTGCAAATGAAGCCCGGGATTTGAATTTCCCGGGCTTCATTTGCATAAGCGGGGAGCCGCCATTT